CGAGGGAGAGCGGGTTTTTCAATTCATTCATTTTATTTCCAACCAGGTCCATTTCTCTGGCTCTCTCTTGGGTTTCTTTCTTCACCAACACATTGACGGGACCAAAGAGAGGAACTCATGGTTGCGCCTGGCCTCTCTTCCACTTCTCTTCCTCTCTTTGTTTCACTTTGTTATTGCTTTCTTTTATCATGTGCATACCGTGTGACCCTTTCAAAGGTACCCTTCTCCTCTCTTTCTTCCGTTATTTCTTTGTTCTAAGGTTCTTATCTTTATCGCTGTTTGGTTGCCAAGAAAATTCGAAAGGGGAACATTCGCGATCGTTTACTTTTTTTTTATATGGGTTTTTGAATTTTTTTTTATTTATTTCTATTTTGTATTGAATTAGAGTTGTCTGTTTGTTTTCTGAGCAAATCATTTGAAGACAACAAATCCTATCTACAGTTATGATATTAAAAATTATTTGTGATTTACTGAAGTTTTAGGGTATTATTCTGTCATTAATAATCATTAATTTAGCTACATATGGAAAGTATAGGGATGTTAGGGTGTTGTACTTTTGCGCCCTTCGCTAATTTGGATATGTAACTTAATGGGTTTTGTTTTTATGAAAATTTGGTTGGCGCTTTTTGGTGTGTTCTGTCTATGTATTTGGAAATAATGTTGGCATTATGATTTTAGGGGTTGACATAGAGAATCCCAGTAGATGTCACCCCATTCCCCTTGCTGATGTTCCTGGGTCCAAAGATGTTATATCATGTGAAAGAGTTCAGGTTTCCGGATATCAAGATGAAACTTGGGAGTTATGCAATTCTTTCGGGTCACTTTGGCTCCTTCTGTGGCAATCCCTGAGAGATTACATAGTAAAATCCAGGTTTGTTCACCGGTAAGTGACATATTGTGCTTTTCTGTGAACAAGATAGAAAATATTCAAATTCAGTGAATGTTGTGGAAGGCTATATTTGACTGATAAGTGTGTCAGGAATGCTTCGCTGCATTATGTCAGTGTGAAAAGGATGAGTGGAAAGCTATTCAGAAGGGGGAGTTTGGAGCTTGTCATGTCTCATTGAGGAGAGATACATTGATGTGAAGTTTGTTGGTGGAGTCTCAGGTTCTGCTTCATTGCAGTTGAAGAAGGTATGCGGTGTTCTCTCTTTTCCTCTTAGTCGCAAACATGTTTTCTTAAATGGTGGTAACATATCTTTGCTGTTGTGTAGATTTCAGAGATGGCGTCTCCTTTGTTCGCAGCTGGATTTATTCTGCTGCTGTTAGACAATTCAGCAACTGGGTTCCTTTACTATAGCAGCTCAAGGCTATAGGAGTTTTTCTTGTCATTATAATCCTTCTCTTTCAGGTACTCAAGTCTTTTATGCTGTTGCTTTTTAGTTGACTCCTTTGTTAATCTTTTATGCCTGATTGATCTCGGAGAGTTACTGGAAGGAAGTATGCATGGTTGGAAAGAAGTTAAGAGTTGCAAAATAGAAGCCAATTCTCTTTGCTTCCCCCCTTAGCTTCAGAAACCTTTTGCATTGCTTTACTATTCACAATTCATGTATTCCCTTCTTCCTGTTATATGTAAGATGTATCCTTCTCTTAGCTTGTTTTCAATTCAATTTTTTTTCTTAATTTGTCTTGTGATTTAGGGAATGAAACTGTTGCCAACTGGAAGGAAGAATGTCTTGTTCTTACTATATAGGATCAGTGGTAAGTGCTCATTCTTCAGTGTTTCTGTTAATTAAATTTTTAATGCAGATGAATCTCAATATTAATTTTCTTTCAGCTTGTGGGGATCTTTTCTTTACATCAATTCTCAGTGCTGGTGAATGATCGATTGTCAATTTTGGACTAAGTGAGGAGATGCACAATCCATAAGGTGTATTTTTTAGATATTACTATGTGTAACTGTTGTTCAACTTTTTAAGTGCTCTGATTTTTTTTTTTTTTTTTGGTTTGGAGTGTTGTTTGGTGATGATGCTTAATAACATACTACTTTATATCTCAATCACTGCACTTTTCATAAGTCATCTGCAATAGGGTTTTCAATTCAGGAGTCATTTGATGAAAATTGTTTCCTCAATGGCTTTTGTAACTTTAGACAATTTTTTCACAGATAGGAAGGGAGAAATATAGAAGGCATATAGAACAAACTAAAGGCAAACAAATCAGCAATATGGTTTCATTTTCACAAGATGTTTGAAGTAAGTTGCATTATGGATGATTTAGGCGTCTTTGAGTAGCATTTTATACCATTATCTTTTATTTGAGAGGCAAATTAGTTAATTTAATTGCATCTTCATTTACTGTCTGATATCAAACTGAGTTTTTTATTAGTATTATTAAGAAACTGAAATTTCAAACATGGGAGTCATTTTCCTTCTTTGAGAATGTTTGGGACAATTTTAGTAAAAGACACTCCGTTGGAAAGTTTGGGAATTCCTTGATTTTTTGTGGTGCACATGCTCTCACTTTCATGTGCTTGCCAAAGTTGTCTCCTTTTTATGTTTTCTTTGCTCCTTGCAAGTGAACCTATTATTTAACTACTGTACCTTTTTCTTACAGGTCTCTAATTCCTACAGTTGGAATTGTCTTGCAGGAGCGCTTAGGGTACTGGATGTAAGGAAATTTGTTTCAAAGATGATGAACTGTTGATGGTGGTGTAGCTCAATTTGTAAATGGGCAATGCGCATCATTGCAACACTTCTATTTTCCAGGTTTGCAATTTCATTCATGTTGGTTATTATGATGAATTAGTAAATCTTTGCCTCTATTCTGCTTATAGTACTCTTCCAAGCTTGAGAAATATGTGGTAGACACATGACTTGGGTAGGGTATTGTTGATCCAGCTCATCCTGAAATTCCTTTTGGTGAATAGTTAAAAATAAATGCACTTCCATCTCGATTTGCTGAGTACTTTTATCAGGGTGTAATTTAGGTAGGGTGTACATGACTTGACATGAGCCCTGGTACCGTGACAACTTTCAATAGTTTGTGCTGGATTTGTGTGTTATGTTTAGGGATTATTGAGTTGACATTCAATGAATCTCTTTTTCTTTATTGAAGGATTTGGAAAGTTGTAGTGGCTTTCTTTTTTTCTATAATAACACCCCACCATTGACAAACACCATCTGTTGCTTCAGATTTGTAATTGGTGTTGTATTGTCTTACATTTTCTGTCTTTTTACTCTTTTTCAGGCACCCTTGATGCTCCTTTAGCGTTGGGGGCATTGGTTTTGCTGCACTGTCTGCTTTCTCACTTCTTCAAAGTGGGTTGGAAGTGGTCTGCATCAATCAAGACAGTCAACAAGAAGGCATGGCCATGCTGAATTCTTAGCAGGTCGCCGTAGCTGGCTCCAGAAGGAAGTTGTGGAATAGCTTGAGCCTAAGATTTCTCCTTCGTGGTCTAACTCTCTGTTAAAGGTATGTGTGTCGTGTTTTCAAAAAAAAAAAAAAAAAAAAATGCAGCCTTTGTTTATTATTATTATATTTTTTTTTTTGTTGTGCCGTTCAATGTTATTTGTTCATTGATAGTTTACTCTGATTGCGCATTACTGGGCATTTTAGATTTTCTTTTCACTATGAAAGCTAAAATGATCTCTTTTTTCCCCTTTTGAACAAACAATTGATTGATATTTGCTGGCACTAAAACATTTATGCGTGTAAATTGGTTCTTCATTTGTATTTCATGTGGACAGAATCGCTAATTGTTAAAATTATATCTTTAATTCATATGGGAACAGCTTTTCTGAAGTAACTTGCCTATTTACTGCAAAGTAGTCCCTTTTTCTTCAAATAATTTTTTGGATGGAAAACTGAAGTAAAATGATTTACACTTAGTTTTCTATGATACAAAAATTTACTACTTTGACATTTGCAGGTTCCTCCTTTTTTAGTAAAACTATTTATTTTCACGACTTTTCATTATTAAACATGTCTGTCTGGACAATTTCCTTGCAGAATTTTTTTTTCTGTGTTTGCTGTGTTGTGCATTAAGGTAGAAACACATTTTTGCAGTGAAAACATCAACTGTTCTAAATTATCTGGCTCATGTTGTTTGGTGCTGGATTGTGGTGCTGGTTGTCATATAATATCAGTATGTCATATGCAAATTTACATCTTCCCTGATTGTCACAGGTGTGATTTCGCCGTATGCTGCTGAAGGGATAATCAATCAGCAGAATTACTATTCAACCTTCCACAAGACAAAGAAAAGGAAGTTCACAAAGCAAGAGTGGGAGGATTTCTCTCGTGAATCAACGCGGCTAGCAGTTGCAGAATTGACAGCATCACCAGAATTTACGGATTGGATCATTGAACACGCCGACAGAATTAAACTCCTTCCAAGTGATAGTTCTGATGAATCGGTGGGAAGTGAATCAGATTCTACAGAAGAGAATGCTGTGGGCAGAAGTGGCGGGTTTAGGTTGTTTAGTTGGCAGGCAATTAAGTAGAAGAATTCAAGGCTCTTTTCTGTAACATGTAAATGGTTGTAGGAAATATCTGCCTTCTGAGAATGAGATTTTAGGAGTGACTTAGGTTGTAACACATTCTTGTTAATGAGTAGTTGATGTAAATTTGTGTAATTGCATTTATTGGAGTAATGTGTTTCTTCTTGTTACGTTTTATTGCAGGTCTTATTATGTTATTTGGGCAAAGTTAAAAGAGAGGTATTTAATTTGCAAAAACAAAGTTGGACCCATAGAATTTCAATAAAATGGTCAAATAGCTGTATTAAGTTATGTCATTGTTTCATAATTGAATTGGATTTCAATGAATAAAGTAAGTGCTTAAATTTAGGGAAAAAAAAAAATTTTTTTATTTTTTTTTTTTTATTTTTTCTAATTTAAATAATTTTTATTTACATTTTCTTTTTTTTTAAATAAAAAAAAATTAATTTATTATTAAAATGGCGAAGAAGAAGAAAAAATAAAAAAATGGCTTCAAAGAGTGGACCCTACCACCATCCATGACAAATTCTTGAAAAGTCTTTAAACTCCAAAGTCCAAACGTTCCCGTCCTTTTCCTTCTTCCTTTCTCACCCACTTTCCTTTCTCTTTCTCTCTCTTCCCCACCGCAATGTACCACAACCACCGCGACGCCGGCGGCGGCGGAGGCGCTTCTCCCTCTCCTTCTCCGACCACCACTCCTCTCTCCTCCCCGACCTCCTCCCTGTCCCTCACCCAAACCATCAACGGCTCCCACCACTTCACCATCCAGGGCTACTCCCTCTCCAAGGGTATCGGCATCGGCAAGCACATCGCCAGCGACAACTTCACCGTCGCCGGTTACCAGTGGGCCATTTACTTTTACCCCGACGGGAAAAACCCGGAAGATAATTCCACTTATGTCTCTGTCTTCATCGCTCTGGCGAGTGAAGGCACCGATGTGAGAGCCCTTTTTGAACTCACCCTCCTTGATCAGAGTGGGAAAGGGAAACATAAGGTTCATTCCCATTTCGATCGCTCCCTCGAGAGTGGACCCTACACCCTCAAGTATCGTGGTAGCATGTGGTTAGTCTTCTCTTCTTTCTTTCTTTGGGCTTCTTTTGTGTTCAATTGGTATACAATTTTGCAAGAAATATCTAGAAATTGCGTTTTGTTGAAATGATTTCGTAGCTTTTCGGTTAGGTTAAATTCTATAGGGTTAGGGCATTTTGATGTGGAACGTTGAATATAAATCTTTGTTTCTTTAAACAATGAATATATAATATCTTTTGGAAAATGTATTTGCTTGAGTGATTTGTGTACAATTTGAAGGCTGGCGTAAAATCTGAAATTATAAGGGAAGAGTTTGTTTTCTTTGTTTTTCTGTATAAACCAGTTTTTTTACTTAATTCTTTGGGTGATAGAATCGGCAAATGGTATTCCGTGGTTTTCATTTTTCATTCTCTCCTATGGTTATTCCTCTGTAAATGGGCTGTTTTTTATTTTCTGCGGTTAAATATGTGTTTGTTTTGCTTAGAATTGATGAAGGTTTCAGCTGTTTGTGCAATAGTTTCTATGTAAATGTTGGAGATAGGAGTGGCATTGAGTTTGAATATAACTTCTAGTAATGGGTTTTCATTGACTTTAGAGTTTCTTTTGCATGGTCAGTGGTTGTTAATGCAATAGTTTGGATTTCTAGCTGGTTGAAATTGTTCATTTCCTTTGGTTTTTCAGGGGCTACAAGCGATTTTTTAGACGGGCGATGCTTGAAACGTCGGATTTTCTGAAGGATGATTGCTTGAAAATTAATTGCACAGTTGGGGTTGTGGTTTCGGCTATAGACTGTTCGAGATTGCATTCTATACAGGTTCCTGAATCTGACATTGGGGTGCATTTTGGCATGCTATTGGAGAATGAAGAAGGTTCAGATGTTACTTTTAATGTTGATGGGGAGAAGTTTCATGCTCACAAGTTGGTATTGGCTGCTCGTTCTCCTGTATTTGAAAATGAATTTTCGGATGCAATGGAGGAAGATAATCAAGAAATAGTTGTTACAGATATGGAACCTAGGGTTTTTAAGGTAGTAATAACATTTTTCTTTAATTTAAACTATATGATTGAATTATCTATAGTTATATCTGTTGTATTTGATTTCCTAATATTTCATTGCCATGTGTATTGGGCAGGCTTTGTTGCACTTCATATACAAAGACACTCTAATTGAAGACGAAGAATTCTCAGCATCTAGTTCATCTTGCGTGGCATCTGTATCTGATACATTGGAAGCTAAATTGTTGGCTGCTGCAGAAAAATATGCCTTGCCTAGATTGAGACTGATGTGTGAGTCTGTACTCTGCAAGGTTATAACAGTGAATTCAGTTTCCCATATTCTAGCGCTTGCTGATCAATACTGTGCTATGGATCTGAAAACTGTTTGCCTCAAATTCACTGCTGAAAACCTCATACGTAAGTTCTTTTAGTTTGATTTGTTTGATTCAGGTTTTTTAGTTCATCATATGATAACACGTGGCGTGCAAAGTATGATATCATTGTTTTCCGCGGAGTGATTGTTGATTTACCTTCAATGATTTGCATTTGAGTTTTGAATTGATGTGTGATTCATAGTGTTATTAGGATGTTGGGGGGGAATGTAAAAGATGCCCAGACACTGAAGGCTTTAGACTTTCGTATTGCCTCTTGACTCATTAATAAAAATGTCCACCATATTTAGGACAGCTGAGAAATCTCGGACTTCTCTCGTTCATGTTTCTCATAAAACTGAAGTTCCAATTCCATTCCAAGGGAGATGAGGGAAAGATTAACTTGAGATCAGGAGATAGTCTGTGTAACCAAGGAAAGCAACTTGCTCAAAGGAATTTCTCAAAGCATTGCATCCTCACAAACTGATTTTTTTCTTTATTTCTCATCGTTTTTTTCTTTATTTCTCATCTCCAACCATGTATGATAAGAAAAAGAGAGGTGTCTCTGGAAATAACTTTCAGAGGGCTGCAATTAAAATTATCAATGACCATCTCTGATTCCCAATTATTTTTTTGGAGACCATGTTTACTCTTAATGACAAAATGCCATAAAGAGTTCTTTTAGAAGGAATTCTCCATCGCAAAATTTTCTGATAAAGCTCCATTTGCATTTTCCACATTTCTCACTTACTGAAAGCTTACCTTTGATCTTATCCTTATCAATTTTTAATTTTTCTAGCTACGTTGTAAGGCGTGTTAAAAAGAGATCCAATAGGCCGGATAGGATCATTTGGATTAAAATGAGCTGAGCCCCACATGATAAAAAGGCCCCTTCCAACCGTTTAGTCTTTTCCCTATCTTTTCTATAATAGGGTGCATCTGAAGATATTTTATTTCCACCTAGAGGTAAAGCTAAATGTTTTAGTGGCCAACTCCTAGAATTGCAATCAAGTCTACTAGCTAAGTAACTTTCTTTTGACTGAACACAATCAGTTAAACTCTTGGACAGGTTGACCTTGATGCCTGAAGTTACCCTGAAAACTTCAACCACTTCCAATAGGTTATCCCCTTGCTCTTTTTCCTGAATAGAGAAGGGTTGGAGGGAGGCAAGCTGTAACTGTGATAAATTTCCAAATTAACACCTTGATAAGAATATAACTCATTTGATTTCAGGAAACCTTGAATCTTGTTTCCTCCTTCAAGCACCAAATGACCTTTGTTTTATTTGATAGATTAGAGGAAACCCTAGTGAACATCATAATATACCTTTTAAGAATCAATCTGGACAACTAACTCTTCTTCCTAGGTGTCTCCCTCTTCCTCTCATAAATGCTAAACATAAAATTTTAACGTGTTATGTTTAACCTTATAATTTGTTTCACCATAAGTCTTATTTTCTAATATTTTAAATTTGATGTTTCACATTATCAATCACTTGTCTTTGTCAAAACTTTCATGTGGGTCATCATTATATCAGTACTGTATCGCCACTATTGTAGCAGTATATGATATCAACCATTCAGGAGTTGGTGTAAACAATTCTAAATCAGTTATACCTTTTTTCTAATAAAGGTAAGAAAGGTGAAATTATGGGAGGAAAAAAATGTTATTTGTTTTTTCTTTCTAATTTTAATGGTAGAGCAAATAAAAGAAAAAAATAATAAAAAGAATGATATATTCAACATAATGTACTTATGTGACATTGACTTTGAGGTAGAGTTGCTTGAGGGAGAAGAATAACTTTTTTAAGTGCAAGCATAAGAGATAGACTGAGAAGGAATATCTGTTGAAGTGAGGTACTTTGAGCTCAGTGTGAGACAGGAAAATATTGGTTGGTGGATGTGTTCGGGGTTATTTATATGTTCTTGGGAGAGTGTGAAGTGTCCAAATGTAAAAGTGGCAGGCGTCGTTTGGTTCAAGAAACAAGATTACTTTGAAGAGCCAAGTGCTTTGTTTGGTTTATGTGAAAATTACCTACTTCAATTTCCACCATTTAGGCATAAGCTGCATGGTGCTCTTGTGTATAAATGTACACTTTTCACATGTGCGCACAAACATGTCTGAACTTATTTATGTAATTTATAAATTGTTAAAGAAAAGAAAAATGCAAATTATCATTTTTACTATTATAGTATCAATGACATGTAGTTTACACAAGTGTAGGGTTGCCTTGGCAGACTAAACACTGTTTGTATGAAATAAAGGGACTGTAAATATTGAAATGTCCATTTCAATCTGATAAACTGCTAGCATGGCATGAGTTAGTTATACATGTCAATATTAAACAGCTGTAGAGCATTCTGTTTATGAAGTGTTTTGCTCTTCAGGACGTCCCGACGATATTGAAAACCTGGGAATCAAGAGTGGAGCCTAAGGTTTTCATTGTTCTATAAGATACTTATTCTTGGTGCTCTTAACATTTTATTTGTACGTCCTCTGAACATCCTTTAATTGTCCCTTTTGATGCAGCTGTAATGCGCTCAGATGGTTTCCAGTACCTTAAAGAAAACTGCCCGTCTCTGCAGTCGGAGCTATTGAAGACAGTGGCAGGATGCGAAGATGAATTCAGTGTGTGGGGGAAGACACCAAGCGTTTGGGCACAGTATTCTGATGGTGATGATACAAACGATAGAAGTGTGAGACAGCGAACCTGGGAAAATGGAGGGGAAAGAAGTCGAAGCATGTGGGTGCCACCACTTGAAGGTGGCGAAGCAGCAGGGAGTCCTGGGGAAGAAGGCTGATAGTATAAACACTATTAGTCTGGTCTCCCTAATGTAATTAAACCGGGAAAGGAAAATGTGGGCGCTAAATGGCTAGAGGAAGAGAAACGAGAGGATATGGCCTCCTTTGTGCATCAACACTTGAATGTTTTCTGTTGTATTCTTAATCAAAAACAGATGCTTTGGTGGCAAGAAACTGAGGGTTGTATCATGTGTTGTAATAGATGGAAATCATTCCGCATATTGAAATTGTTGTTTGTTTTGTTATGGGAAGAGGAGAGTGAGTTGATTTGGGAAGCTATGGTTGTACAGTAAAGGCCAGACAATGTAACCAAAACAGTAATTGGTATGCATAGCCTCTTGGTTACTGTCAAATTATTGGTTATTAGTTCAGTTGGTGATAACTGGGTGGGTTGACATTGTCTCTAATTTGACTGCCAAATTTGTTTAAGTTGATGAATCATTTTAATAAATTTGAGAAATTAGCTGAAATAACGCCTATTAACTTGTAAATTACGAAGTTCTCAATTTGGACATTTCATTTTCATGTCTTATAATATTATAAATTATATTCTTACCCATTTACATAACCTTTTTTTTGGTTGAAAAAACTGTTTAGTTGTTTTGAATTAGAACCTTGAGAACAGAGTTATAATGGTTATCATACTTAGTATGGTTGTCATACATTTTTTATTTTTAGCATGCTACTGGAAGACCTTTTCTTACAAACATTTGACTTCTGCCACTTTTCTATAACAGAAGGGTTGGTTAAAATCTCTTCTATTGGGTAGCATTACTAATTATTATGAGATTTTAATTAGTAAATGTTATAGGATTTTCATTCAAAAGGATCTGGTATGCATATTAATTATGAGAGAAGACAGAATCTAGATTAAATTCAATTTAGTTTTTCAGAAGCATGTTCTCAGTATCTCAAAATGTTACTTCTTTCACGCCATTTGTATATTTTTTATGTAATGTATGTAAGTGCTAACAAGCATAATCTGCCAGAAATTCTAGTGAGGGGGGCAAAATCATAGAAATAATATGTTCTATATTATTTTTATAATCATAAATATTCAAACTTTAATATTTATTGATAGTATTTTTGATGAATACATTAATTTTTCTAAAAAAATGATAAAATAAATGAAAGAAATCATATTGACACAAGGAAACTTATAAAAGTAGAATATAATTTATTAGGTAATAAAAGATTTATCCTATATCAAAACCTTAACTTATTTAGTTTATTTATAAAGGTTAATGACATTAATTCCCATGAAGTATAATAAAATAACAAAAATTCTTTTGAAGTTTAAAAAATAATAGAAATCCCCTAGCTGTTAAGTCTTAGATGTTAAAATAAACAATAAAAAGGTAATTAGTAATATTTATTAACTGTATAAATTTTAATGGTACATTAACAGTTCATTAACAGCATGAGGATTTTTGTTATTCAGAAACCTCAAGGTGATTGTGTCATTTTATCATACCTTAAGGGGGTATAGTCTTTAACACTATTTATAATTTCAAATTTCATCTAGTTGTTTTTGGGCTTACTTATTAGATTGGAAGATTAAATTTGTATATTATGGTAATCTCAAATTTAATTTAGTTTGTTTTCTTAATTATTGAATTGGGTAAATTTTCATTTAATGGAAGGAAAAATTGCATGTAATGACCTTTTACAAATATCCTAACAGCATAGTTCCCATGTGTTTGGTGATCAAACAATGAAACAAAGATGAGAAATTCCAAATTTATTAACAATTATAATTATATCGACTGATTCTTCTAAACCATCCATTTTCTTTTCTATAAAAATATCTTCAGGTCACTTAGTAATAACTCCATGGAACCAAACAATGAAACATCAAATGGAGATTGCTCATAACAGTTGTTAATTAAACATGCAAGCTTAATCCTATAAAATGAAGGATACAAATTGGCGGTGTAGCCTTTTCCACTGATATTGAAACTCTCAAATTCACTGCCTATTTGTGTAAGACTTGATGTGGCCACATTTCACAATTATGCAGTTGAAAGTGGTTTAAAAGAGTTATTTAATTGTCTCTCTTGATCTTTGATGGGAGGTTAAAGGTAGTTGATGAGAGTTACTTGGTCCCTAACTTAGCCATTTACAAGGATATTATCTTCTCCATCAAAGAGATATCACACAATACAAAAAGGTTCTGGAGGCATAAGCTATAAGACATTTCTTAAACACTTACTCAAAAATCATTTATGTTTGGTTTTCTACAACACTTGAACAATATGGTTGGAGGTAAGTGATTAAATTCCGTATTATATTACATACATAATATTCCACAATTTGGTGTTTACTGTTTAGCAAGAACGAAACCTGGAATACGAATACCCAAGAAAGCCATGCTAACCATGTAAAATTAGACATGCTTTCTTGCCACCTTCTTTGACTAATCTGGTGTTTCCCAGACCCTGTAATCCATGTATTCCAATTATGTTGGCATAATCATCTTTTAGGGCTAGTTTCTTTATATTGATTGGAAAAAAGGGAAATCATATTAAATAACAATTTTTTTTAATGTGTAAATTGAGAGATAATCAATTTATAAAAGTCTCTCAAAAAATAGTCTTAATTCAAAATTTATACATTCGTTAGACCAAATTATTCTTTCCTAATTGAAAACTCAAAGTGATCGATAACCAACTGATAGCCAAATGGCTATCAATCATTTTTGTGTTGAACTCTATCGGTTGATTATCAGTCAAAAAATTCTTAAAATAAAACTAACTCTATTTGATAAAATTCGATAGCCAGTTGATAGATGTCTATCGGTTGGTTATCGTCCACTTTGAGTTTTTAGTTAGGACTATTATCTCACACCTTTCTTGAGGTTTCAGTTTAAATCATTCATACCCCAAAGGTGTGGAAAGTTAGCCTTGACGTTGTGTCACATTTGAAGAATTATCCAATACGTCCCTTTTTAGCCGTAAGTTCATAGATTGTGCCATCTAGTGTATTTCATACCACCCCACACCAGATCGATTAATATCCAACTCATCCACTTAGTTCTGAAAGTATTAAAAACACCATAACCATTAAGTAATTTTAATTGAGACAAAATGAAGATAACCATATATTGGTAAAACAAGGCTTTTTTTTTTTTTTTTTTTTAAATTATAATAAAATTATTTTTAAATGATTTATAAAAATAATGAGGGATAAAAAAATGTCCTCTAAGTTGGCTAGTCATGGGAAAGAGAGGGTAAAATTGACTTTTAATTTTAAAATTGGTTGAAACCCTAACATATCACTAAGTTTGTGTTTGTTTAGGGCCTTGTCAGATTACTTTGGTAATCTATATTTTAATCCGGTCATTATCTTGTTTGGTTCAGTAGGTAATAAAAAATTCCAGTAATCTTTTATTACTTAGGTAATAATATAGGGGGTTATGTGATTATCGACTTAAATGATAGTATTTTAAGATTACCGTGATAATCTTATTTTTATTCCAATTATTATTAATTATGTGTGTGTGTGTTTTATTGTTATTATTATTATTATTATCATTGGGCATGTTTGCCTTATTATTTCTGCCCATATTCTCAATCCTATTCTTCAAATAATGTTTGACACATTATTTCAGAAATATTACCCTATATTTTTAATTACTTTTAGACTCCATAAGGTTATTAATTTCATTAAATACACCCTGAAAAAAAAGTTTAAAAAGTAGCAAAAACACCCCCACGACCCATACTTGCCAGATTTTGGCAACCACCATCGATGGTAGCCAGAATCTATATAACGGCCTACCTGCCGACCAGAAATGACCGGAAAAGGCCAGATCTGGCCGTGAACGACGACCAAAGAAATGGTCATCGTTGACCGAAAACGATGGCCATATCTTTGGCCGTCGCTGACGGCCAAAGATGGTCGTCGTTTTGGCCTTTTTCGGCCGTCGCGGCCACAGCAGGCCGTAGATCTGGCCGGAAAAGGCCATAACGACGCGTTACGACTTAGATCCTACCAGTCTGTGTTGTAACGCGATTTTTCGGCCAAATTCCGACGACGGTGGCCAGAATCTGGCACTATAGGTGATGGGGGTGTTTTTGTCATTTTATATATTAGAGTATTTAATTAAATTAGCAAACCCAAGGGCTTTTTTATAAATTTTTAAATTTTACCTCGTAATACTCCCCTATCCAACTACCCAATATTATTCCCAAAATCTTATTCAAAATAATAAACCAAACGCACCCATTATTAGTATTACTATTATTATTGTATATGGGGCATTACCTTGAAAATCAATGCTTGAACAAGAACTTATGACATTGACAAGATTTCTATGATGGATATTTCTCAATGCTTTACACTCTGCTAAGAAACTCTTGGAAGCTCCTTGACGTTGAAGATGAAGTACTTTAACTGCAACAGTGATTCTATCTTGATTAAAGATTCCCTTATACACTGAACCAAAACTGCCCACATCAATCAATCGTGTTGAAGAAAACCCATCAGTTGGTTTAAGAAGCTTTTCATAAGACAAATTTAAAAGTTCTCTTATCAATGTAGATACAGATTCCAAAGGTTGTTTTCCTCTTCTCTTTTTGAGCCAAAAAGAAAAAAGAAAAAAAAATGACATCACAACCAAACCTAAAAAAGTGCTTACGGTTGAGATTAATATTTTGGACAGTTGAGAGATCCTTTCCTTCTTTGACTCATTGTCGATGCATTTTGGGAGATGTAGTTCAGCTATACCCCCACAAAGTCAATTACTATTCCTGACAATTGATATTGCACTTGCATTTGCAGAAATTCATTTCGTTGGTACTTCGCCCTCCAAATTATTGAAAGATAGATTTAGATTTTCCAACATAAGAGTTGCCAAGAATTTTGGAATTTGACAAGACAAATTATTATGGGAAAGATCAATGTCTCGAATACCTATGAGAGAACTCAATGATGAAAGTATAAAACCTTGAAAGAAATTGCCCTCGATATAAAGATATTCAAGACTAGAACAAAGACTAAGTTGACTTGGAATTTCATCGGATAAATTATTACTAGACACATAAAAAACTGATAGAACTTTCAGGTTACTGATGTTTGGAGGTATGGTTCCAATCAATTGGTTTCTGGCTAGATTCAGTGCAATTGACAAATATGTTATTTCAAAAATTTGTTTGGGTATGGTTCCACTAAGTTGGTTTTGGGAAAGATGCAACTATAGTAATTGTTTCAATTTTCCTAGACTGTAAGGGATGATTCCAGATAATTTGTTATTATTCAATCCAAGGTGCTCAAGTTTCGACAGGTTTCCCTGAGACAAAGGATTTTAGCTTGAGAGTTTGTTGTAAGACAGATGTAAAAATCGAAGGTTGTGAAACTTACCTAGTTCTTCAGGAATTGTACCTAAAAATTGGTTAACGGAAATCTCAAAATAAATTAAGTTAACCAGGTTGGTTATTCCCGAAG